TTCCCAAAACAAGATGTTACAGTATGCATAAAGATGACATTAAAGCAGCTTTACCTCATGTTTTGAATCAAGGACCTTTTAACAGAAACAGAACAACCAAATCACACATTCCTTCAAAGCCTGTAACTCTTTTCCCTCTGACCCACTTATCTAGCACATCCTTCATTTGGTTCAAATTAGCTCAGTCCCTCTGAAGAGATCTAAATTTTACCCTGTAAGTATCAGGCATAATCTAAAACTATTTGAAAAAACAAATCTTCTGTAGTTTGAAGCATCACTAATAGACATCTAATTGAATACATCCCAGACTCTCCACTGGGCTTGACAAACAGACAGATCAAAATACATTACCAAGCCAAAATAAACAAAACACACCAGCTATACAGACAGATCAAAATACATTACTAAGCCAAAATAAACAAAACACACCAGCTAATTCCACTACACTAGGTGAGATCGTTACAGATCATAATTCTCACCCTGCTCCTTATTCCAGGTAAAATCCTTCAAGACAGAGCTGACCTTTTCTCTGGTCTGGGTGTAACAGTCCCTTGTGTCTTAAGAGTACTTTGCTTTCAGGTTTCTTCATGTGTACCTTCTTAGGGTGGGGTGGCCATTTCCAAGGCCAGCTGAAGATGACAATGATTGCTTCCCATTCTTTAAACAGAATTTCCTAAGGCTTTTGTTTTCTCTCCACATCCCCATGGAAGAATACTAGATTCAAGATGAATTCCAGCACCAGGTGGCATGGTCACATGTCTTTGTAGGACCAACCACAGTGTAGGCTTACAGGAAAAACAGCCATTTACAGATCATTGTCTTGAGCACTGGGCTATTAAGCCCCTTAGTACCACTAATGGCTCTTAGTATAAATTCTAGATTAATAAACAGGTTTACACTTCATATTTCTAACTTCACATACAAAAATGATACATGTGCACAAATAGAAAAAACACATTCAGGGGTTCAAAGGCTCTTGAACGTAAGTTACTTAACTCAAATATACTCTATGCAAAATTGGTCATACATATTCAAAAATGTATTTGCGTAAAAAATATGAAGGTGAAGTGTCACAATGTTGATCCCCAGAACACCTATGTGAGACAATAAAGAGCTATTACCTCATCCCTTTTATAAATGGGAAATGGACACAGACAGATGAAGTGACTCACCTAAGTTCATACAGAAAGTATAACAAAACACACATTGGGAATCAAGTCATCCTAAGTTCTATATTTTCCCTTGTTTTATTCTGGGGGAATTCTGTGCCACTGCATGCATACAAAATTCATGTTCCCTGCAGATTTTTTTTGCTTTCTCACAGAAAAATGACGTATGACAGGGGGAAAAAAAGGAAGCCAAAACTGCAGTCATGCTCCCATCTCCAGAAGCACAGGTGACTCATCACTGTGAGGAGGAAGGGATAGGAGTAGGTCTGGAGATGCCCCACAATCCATGTCTCCTCCCCTGCACTGGGCTCAGCTGCTAGTCCTAGCTGGACTGGGATGGATAGGACTTCTTTCCCTGCAAGAAGTGGCTGGGACTGGATCAGACCCAACCCCAGAAGCATTCCCCATAGTTCCAGGAAGCTCCACACTCCTCCACCCACTTCTTGTCCCCAAAGTTCTTCAACAATGGGGTGCTGCATGGCCATTTCCCACTTCCTTGCAGCCAGTGGCCTGGGCTACAACTGCCATGATGGAGTCTCTACATTTATTTGTTGACAAATAAGATCTGCAGAACTTTGCAGAATTTTAAAATATTGTGCTCAGATTTTGGGGGGGGGGGGGTGAGAGAGTACAGAATTCCCTCAGGAGTATCATCATCATCTTTTTTTTAAGGTCCTTTACTGTAATTGAAAGTTAACAGCAATTTTTAGTTTAGTGAACTAATGGCAAGGTCATAAAAGTCAGAGAAAAGTTAATAGTTTAGGCTTATGCTTCCATGCAGATCTTATACAATACAACTTCTTATATATAGTATTTCTTCTTATCATTTTGTAAACACATTTTGTAAATGTGTTATGTAAACACCTTTCATAAGCTAAATGAATCATACTTATATGTAGATGTACTTTCCACTGAACATAAAACATTTCCCCTTCATTAGAAGCAATCCGTGAGAAAAATAAAGGGACACAAAGTTTGGTAACATACCAGGCTTTTGACCACTTTCAGTAATTCTTCCATTACCACAGCAATGCCCTGGTATCCAAGCAGCCTGCAAATTACTTTAAAGTGAGGGGGACCAACAAAGTTCCTGTAGTTGCTATAAATGCTAGAATATGCCAAATTCAAAGCCTGATGGGAAGAAAAAAAAGTAGTATTAATAACAGAAATAACTCTATTCACTGAATTTTCATAACACTCTCTCATTGGATACAATGTGCATTACTTTTTGTGAAATATTTTTAAGTAGGGCTCTCAATTGCCATTAACTCATGCAATTACCCCAAAACAAATGAACTAAGTTTAAAAAAAAATAGTTTTAATTGCACTGTTAAACAAAAGAGAATACCAATGTACATTATACTTTTTAAAATATATTTTCAAATGTAAGTTTCGGTTACAATACAGAACAGTGTACAATGCTCATTTTATATTATTTTATTGCAAATATCTGCCCTGTAAAAAAAATTAACAAAAAAATATTTTTCAAGTCAACTCTTACAAGTACCATAGTGCAATTCCCTTATCATGAAAGTGCAATTTACAAATGTAGATTTTTTTTACAGAACTGCTCTCAAAAAGAAAACAATGTAAAACATTAGAGCCTCCAAGGCCACTCAGTCCTGCTTCTTCTTCACATAGACAGGAAAAACCACACATTTACAGGAGATAATGTCACCGGAAAGTGAGAACAGATGTTTGAATGGCACTGTTGTAGCTGGGGCTGCACTAGGGATATGAAAGGTTAACCAGTAGGCATCACCCTTAATGGGTGATGTTTACAGGTTCTGGTTAACCAATGGGGGCTGAAGCAGCTCCCTGCCTACCATGGGCAGAGGGCTGCTCCAGCCCAATTGTGCCTCCCCCCCCCATTTGTTAACCAGTTAAACTTCACACGTAACTGGTTAATCAATTAAATGGGATGTTATATCCTTAGTTGCAAGGTACTGTATTTATATGCTAGATACGTGAAACATTTGCATGCCACACCATGCTTCAACCACCATTCCAGAGGGCATACTTCCAGGCTGAATTTAAACTGGTAGTCAATTATTGTTTAATTGCAGTTTTAATCACTCTATTAATCAAAACTTTTGTTTTAAATCTTGTGATTAATGTGGAGCTTTTGTAAACCTTTGGGCTAATTAAATGTTAGTGTTGGAACCTTTACTTTCCCATTTCCAGACTCTGATTTTAACTGAGCAACTTTGTATTTAATATTATAAAATATGCATAGAAAATATCCAAAAAGTTAACAGTATTTCAGCTAACTATTACAGTTTTGTGTCTGGAGATTCAGAAGTTTCACTTCACCTTGTTTTTAACGTGATTACATTTCTTCTGCTCAGGGAGCTGCCTCTAACAACACAAACAGGTTACATAGTGAAATGTGTCCCCCTATAATATTTTAAATTACAATTATTGACACCTGTTACTGATTGCATATTTATAATGATTTGGGAGGTGGGAGTGGATATTTCCTATAACTATTTAGCCATTCTTTTTGTGAACTCAAACTTCAACAGATGTTTGGCAGATTATCAGAATCCATACAGAATACTGCTCTGGAAGAAGCTAAAAATCCTGTTATTGGATCACAGCTGATTGAAATACTGAATTCTAAATTAACACTGGCTGGCAGAAAGCCCAAAACTACAATTGAGTATTAAATGCAAAACTGCACAAACACATGAAAAACAGATATTGGGAAATCAAATGGAAGTGGTACTCCTAAATACTAAAGAACACTTTTAACAATTGTGTTACTCCTGATTTATGGACTAAAGAACACTTAGAAATTTTAACAATTGTGTTACTCCTGATTTATGCTCTTATTTCAAGTGTAGCTGCTTTCCCCATCAGCTTAGTTCCTGGGCTACATTCTTGATGTATTGTACCCTTGCAAGAATAGGTAACCTATTTCTGAATGCTAAAATAATACAGGTCAGAAGGTAACTCAAAAAACTTTCAAGTAAGAGAATAGCTGATGGAATATTTCTAATTAGATCAACCTTGGTTAATAATCTTTTCTATATTTCCCACCCCTTTTCTGGTATTTAATTTATAATACAGTTGTCTGTAATGGAACACTCTTGGTCTACATGTTTGTTGCCTATTAATACGGAGGAAGTACAGAGTTAATTTTCCCAAATGTTTCAGAAAACTTTAAACCGCAGACTTTAAAAACCAATTACAGGCGAATGCCTAGGTGTACAGGACACTATTAACAAATTACTCCTAAAAGCAGTAGCTTTATATTTCATAGTAATGATTTTAAATGTTGCATTCATTTGTTTTTGGAGTTCACAACTTCATAGATTTTATGTAACAAGAATTTTTTATATATTCATACAAATACATATATAAAACACAATGTAGAGACTATTTTACTTTATCACATTATAGAATATTTTATAATTCTCCTCACTGTAAGCATTTTGTAGAAAGAGTACACCTGCATACTTCAAGAAAGAGAACATAATTATGGGAAAGCAGGCACTAAAATAGTCTTTTTTTTAAAAAAAAGGCAAAAGAAACAGAAATAGCCAGCCTATAAAAATACCCTAAAAAAAAAAAAGGCAAAAGAATCAGAAATAGCCAGCCTATAAAAATACCCTATTTCCCCATGAATGTGTGAACATTTCATATCGAACAGGTAAAGCAACTTGGAACAATCTAGTGGTTAATGTTAGATTAGAGGCTCATTATAAAAAATGTATTAAAGAAATAAAAAGTATTGCAAGAGGAATACAAAAAGATGATTAAGAGCAGAAACCTGAAACAGCAAAGTTCTCAATCACTGAAAGAAGCTTTCCTTTTTTTTTCCCTGTAAGCTATTGCTCCCCCCTCCTCTAAAAAATACCCAAACAAAAAACCCTCCTATTCTGATGTCACAGAAGTGCCAGCCTTATTCACACGCAGCATATCCGAAGCAAGCCTAGGTATACAATACAGCAGCATGTAACTGGAGTGCTCATGCAGTATATTGTCCAAGAAGCAAGTGAGAGAGAATTAACTGTCTTTTTTCCTGCATGTTCTTTGAAAACCTAGGCAACAGGCTGCTCAAACAAGATGCGCTCATGTCGGAATTTAAGTAGAAGAGAAAGAAACTGTGTCACAAGCATCGCTGGAGAATAAAATTGCAAGAGTCAAGCAACAATAATTGAATCCAGAGAATCAGAGAGAGAACTGGCAATTACAGATCATGAAGGAAATCACCTACACAAAAGGACACCAAAAATCTAGTTTTGCATTTTTAGAAGTTCACAATCTGATACCCTTATCCTAAGGATTTATATCAGGAATTTAAGGTGAGTAACAATTTTATAATGAATAAAATACCAAGTTAGTTTTTCTAACATTAAGATACCAGTTTTGTTATGTATGTTCCTACTAAAATGTAATTAACGCTTGGTAATGAGACAAGACCTTGTGATCACATATTAAAATAAACACCCAAAATTTTACTCATAAATAGCTCTATGGGTAAGGAGATGGATTCTATTCTTAATATCATCAAGAAGTATTTAAAAAAAATCTTTTTATATAAAATGTAATTAACTAGCAATCTATTGAATTGAAACTTGATATGGGACTCTCAAGAAAAAAAAAATGTTCTAACAATATACTGTTGACCAATATACAAATACCTAAGAGACTTAGACAGTCAAGTTTAGCATTATAAAAATCACTTTAGTTTATCGGGTGCCTGCATCTGTTTGTCCAACAAGTTTATTCAATGATAAACTCATTTCTTTGAAACTGATGCAGCTGTTTCATTGCCTATATTTTATGGCAGCTAAAATGTAGGATGCCTACATTCTTGAGATCAGAGTTGTTGTTTTTATTTTTTTTAAATGGGTTTGCTAGCATTTATATTTTTAAAATGCGTTGTAGAGGAGCATATGCCTTATATTCTTCCCAAATACGCAGAATATACAAACTACAAGTGGGAATTTTGAGACCTATGTTCTCACAGCTTAGTAGCAATTAAAATTTTTTTTAATTCATTGAAAACACTGCAGAAGGTACAGTTATTTTAATGTGATCCTCAGATGAGTAATTTTTCCAATTTTATAAGTCATATAAACTTCAGAACACCTACTAAGTCAGAATTTTATAAGCTTCTATTCTCAACATTTTTCCAGTACTAAAATGCTATTCAGTCAGGAGACAGAATACATTACATCCACATTAAATAATACTTTCACACTGTAGCAAAATCACTAATCATTTATTTCATAATTGTCAGTCATTTATGCTAGTACTTTGAATAAACACTTCAAAAGCAAGTAAGTGCTTAGTATAAGTCTACACTGTGATTCCCAACCCAGGTAGGCAGACTCATGCTAGCTCAACTTGAGCTAGTGAACTACCAACAGCAGTGACTCGGGTCCTTAAGTCAATGGGAATGAGTCCCAAGATGCTTTTGAAAATTTTACTCTCAGAAAATACATGTCTCAACAAAACCCAAATTAAACTTCTTTACAGAAAAGTAAAACTGAGGCCCTGCTAAGATGGGATGAACTGGTTACCTTTGACAAGTAACATCACAATTAGCTCAACACATCTCATTATTAAAAAGTATTTGCTGCTTCTAATACTATACAATATTTTATTTTGGTAATGAAAACCAGAAATTTCTGTTAAATTATTAACAGATACAGAGGGTTTTTTTTTAAGTATGTAAAGCACAAGTATGACAGATGATAATGTACATACAGTTCAGGAGAGATATTTCCATTAATGGCAACTTCTTCACTTAAAAATTATTAATCTTGGTAATAATGTATTATAAAAAGATTCACTGCCCCCAACAAGAGCACAGGATATAACCTGTGTTTTTCCTCCAGGTAAGTAGCTTCCCTCTTTGTGCTGTCAGTTTGGCTGCTCTAGCATGACAAAAAAGGTAGCCTTCATTTTGCTTGCCATGATTGTTTTATATTTAGAACAGAGTATCAGAGTATTGAATAGGGCTCCAGAACCAAGACAATGAACTGTGCTTCAAAGTTACTAGCATACAGTTGATGCAGTCGTTCCTTAAGGAATGGCTACAAATGAGAGCCCATATCAGCCGGAAGGTGAGAGAATACAGGGAGCAGAAAAAAGGGGATCCAAATAATAGACTGCCTAACAACAGACTCATGATCTGTTCTGGTTTTTAATAATTAGATGATTAGTTAAAATCAAAAGCTATGGGTGAACAAAGGACGAAAACATTTGGAGATTTTTGCTCGTCTCCAAGCTAATTAGTTATAGTTGCCCGTATTCACAAAAATGGGATTTGTTAAGACTGGTTAGAACACAGGAGAATACTAGATTGTTAATACATAAGCAAATGGAAAAAATAAAAACAAATTTAAAAATCAGAATAAAACAAATGCTCGTGCATGTGCTTGTGCATGTATTTTTGGAATGGTGCGTTGCAGATATGTAAATTTATGTTGTTCTTCAGAGTGAAACCTGACGGCTTCCTACCAATCATCTATGATTCAAGAGACGTTTGAGAGTTTTGGCTAGTTCTCAATACTGCTCAATATTTAAACTTTTGTGATTTTAGCCTATCAAAGTGATAAGTTATGTTAAATATCATGCACACTTTTCTGTTAAAGATGTTTAAAATTTATGCAGTAAACAAAAAAAGGTCCAGGATTTCATGTCAGCAGACATGTGTACAGGTTGAACCTCCATTGTCCGGTACGCTCGGGACCTGACCGATCTAGGATGAGGGATTTTGCCGGACGAGGAGAGGTCATTTCTAGACCCTCTGCCACCAAATCCCCCTAGTCCTGGCCCCACTGCCAGCCTCCCAGACAGCTTCCCTCTCTGGCTTGCGCCCACTGCCCTGACAGCCCCTGTTGCCCTGCTGCCTCTGTTTACCAGGTTCTCGCTGCAGTACCCGGAAGACCCGCCGCCTCCATGTGTACCGGGCTCTTGCTGCCACACCAGTCAGCCCGGCTGCCTCTGTGCACCCAGTTCCCGCTGACCTACTGGGCAGCCCCACTATCGTGCATGGGACTCCCACTGCCCTGCTGGGAAGCCCCACTGGCACACATTGGGTTCACGCTGCCCTGCTAACCTGAAGGGTTCCCAGGTGCTAACTCTCCAGGAGGATTCTTTGGTCCTAGAACATCCGTGTTCCTTCTGGACCAGAGTATCCCGATTAAGAGAGTTTCAACTTGTATTACCTCATGTTTCCATTAACAATTTTGATTGTTCAGTTTTTACACTGCAATAGAGTTAGAAGGAGATTTTCAAAAAGACACTAGGGGAATTAGGCACCCAAATCCCACTAGAATTCCATGGGAGTTTACAGCTTTATGTTGATTGTGCCTCTTTTGAAAGCTTCCCTCTTAATAAATAGAAGTTTTTAAATGATGGGTAACTGAAGGCCCCACTGGTGATACTGTCTGACTGTAGATTCCTTACGCCAGAAATATGCAGTGACTTAAAAACATTTCTGCTACTAGAAAAGCGTCTCTTTAATTTTAGATTCAGGATGATTAGATTACTTCATCTGCAAATGCCCCTAGAAAAATAAAAAAGACACTGTTTCCTAATAAACCACTTTTCTAAATTACAGAACGCTCATGTTTAAGATCTACATAGTTTTTCTCCGTGGTGACGCTTCTGGGACATCCTGTTTTTCTGGAACTGCAACTATAGGCACCCTTTTGTGAGGAGACACAACTGTGAAAAAATATTCAGTGGTATCACAATGGGAGTAACAATACAAAATGTTACAGGAAGCACAGCAATGGTAATTTGGCCAACGATGGCTAGTTGTGCTGACAGCTTTTACAGTATTATGTATCATCCCAACTGGAACAACATGCTGTCAGGTTATTCAAGAAAAAATTTTCAGAAAGAAGAGCGAGTGCCTGCTAGTCGGTCCTCATTCGTCATCGAAAACTTAACTCCACTAACCACCTACATCTTGTGTGTAACCTGCCAATCTGCAAACCCCTCCAGTGACCAGTGCAGAATTTTTCACACATTGGAAGAAGATCCAGCATCCGCAAGCAACAAAAAAAAAGAACTGGCCTTGGGCATCTGGCTAACTAGCAGTATTCTGCTTCTCATCATTGCCGGGATCCTCCTTTATGGCTGCCTACATATATGGTGCCGCAAGAGACGAGAACGGGCAGAGGGACAAAACATCCCCTCTGAACAGGACAAGGGGGAAGCTTGGACAATAAACAAGTCACACACCACAGAGGAGTTTCAGAGGCAAGACAGATTAGTCCAAAGTGCTGAGGGTAAGAATGCAGATGATATCCAACTGGCCACAATAATAGAAAATCCCTTAACTTCTAAAGAGCCGGCTATGCAAACTTCCAAAAGCCAGGAAATAGTGCTAATGACAGCTGGGCCATTATAATGGGTAACGACCACTGCACAGATTTACTGTGCACTATATGTAAAATATTTTCACCCACTGAGTTCTATATCTTTTTCAGTTTGTATGGGTGGTGTTTAACTATTACTGATGCATTCTCAACAGTCTTACTCACAATTGCCACTATAATCAACCCACATACAGCTGGAAGATTCTCAATACTAGGGTTTACAACTAAGTATTCTTTTGATTTTATTACAAAAAAATCAAGCACATAGCACAGAAATTAGAGGGTATTTTTTAACTTTCATTTTGGAGGGAGGAAATAAGGTTTACTTCAAAATAAATACACAAATGAAAAGGTCAAAGAGAATTATTATTAAATAATAAATCAAGCTGAACTGAAAATTGCTTCTGGGAACCTGTAAACGCATGCTGCCGGCAGCTGGAACACAAATGACTACGTCGATAATGGCCTGTCATCTTTTTTTATCCACATCATTCAGAATCAGGTTGCTTCTCAAACTACAGTTCATTGCTGTTGACATTTCCATTCAAAACAAGTTCTAGTTCTAGGACATTAGCTAAATTCGTTAATATTTGGGAGGGAAGGAGGAAGGGTTCCTATTTCACCCAGTTTAAAAATGCACTCAGGATGGTGACATCAGCAAGAGGTGCTCTAACCACACCGTAAGAGGTTAAGAGATTCTCTAGCTTAATGCTGCAGCAATAGGAGCAAAGTGTTCATTGCACAGCATGGAAAGAGGAGATCATGAGACCCAAAACCATGACTCCATTACTTTGTCCCTAAACTAATGGGGAAGGACAAAACACAATGGAAGGATTTTATCTAGCCCCCAATTTCTGTTAATGTACCAAGAGTAAAAGCAGCTAAAGCATGAGTGAGTAAGGTACATTTATTTTTGAAATTATATGCAACGATATTTGTCCTGAAGATCTTGGCAAGCTGCCAACACTGCTACTGAAGTGGAAACTTGGAGCACCGTGGCAGAACAATATGTCTAGTCTGTTTTCACACACACACATGTCATGGTTTTACATCTATTAAGCACATACTTCTTTCTTTTCAGTCAATGTATTTTAATGTTATGGTCCAATATGGTACATGTGTGACTGTACAATATACTGTAATTGTCTGCATTTATTTTTAACTAATATTGAAGAATGTATATTTAAACTCAACATTCATTTAGCCAGGTTGAGCTCTCTCATCAGCCAGAGAAGGGTAACTGTTAGCATAGCCATTACTATCAATTCTACTGGCTTCTGCAACCCAAAGTGGTCTATTACAAAAATCTGAGAATACTGCACCCATTTAAACGCTTCGCAACAGGCAGTGTGCCTTTTCCAGCTACTCCACTCCTACAGTGTTTCAGTTATTCTGTGACTGATACGTCAGTTTTCTTAGTGCTAATGCAAATCACACATACGGAAATCACAGCTAGCACAAACAGAAAACAAATCTGTTCTACTCGCATGCCATTGGGAAATACACAACATAATTGTGTGCCAAAGGGATGGTGACTCTCCTGTCATAGGAATATGCTCAAAATTATATTTCTGTACTAAATTAACCTTGATACTCAATCTGTAAATGTTAAATAATATCAACTACATATTTTTTCCAATTGATTGTGTTTTCCTTTTGTCTTACACATACTCTCTTAAATAAATTGCATCTGATCTTGAAAATCATTGGTATTCCAAATGGAGATAATTACTTAAAAAGGCACTAATAATCAAAATAAATGCTGCTCAGAAACTAAAGTTGTCCCTACAGTTTTGCCTCCAAAACAAATGCAGAGAAATAAACTACTGCACACCTCTTTTATGAGCCTAAAATCAATTATGGTGAAATACTTATTCTAGCTAAATTTGTTTAGAGCAGAGATACGCGTACAAGGAGGAAAGATTATCCTGGGGTTATGGCATAGCTCTGTGAGAGAAGAGACCTGGCTCTGTTCAAAGCGCTGATAATGGCTTATAGCATAACTGCATAACTTCTCTGTACTTTACTTTCCTAATTTATGACAAGGGGACCGTCATCATTCCAGGCTGACCTGACATGCTTCCTTACAGGAAGGCATAAGGTTACTGGTGAGCCCTTACTTGATTTTCCCATCCTCTAGTGCAGTGGTGGAAAACCTGCAGCCCGAGGGCCACATGTGGCCAATTAGGGTTCTATGTTGGCCCACAAGACATTTTGTTCACCGTTGTCCACATGCAGGGTCGCCAAACTCTACTGGTTTTCATCTGTGTCTTTTCTTCCTACTTGCATTACTAAAGTGACATGCACATAAAGCAAGGGCATGTGAAGTGAAGGGCTATGTTGATTGTACACAACATTGACCATGAGAGCTGTGTACGTCCTCTGAATCCAGTCAAAGTGCTACTACAGTTCAAGTGGCACAACCCACAAATTCTAGGTATTCAAGCACAGTGAACCAAACTACCCTATCCCAGGAGACTATTTTGATTCCATAATCTTGCAGTCCATTGAGATGGAAGGCCATCCATGCAGCTTTCAAGGTCCATTGCTGCTCTAGCGGATCAACAAGCCAAAACATATAGATGCTAAAGAGTACCACCCCTGTGGAGTTCCCCTAATTTATTAACAGAAAAGCCAACACAACAGAAACAAAACTTTCCCTGCAGTATCTCATCTGGGTGACTAAGTCATTTCTAGCCCATCTGGCCCTGCACCCTGAGTTCAGGGCTTGATTCTACCCAAGCTCTTCTCCCAAGGTTGTCTTGGTTCTAGTCTCTGGCCCAGTATGAGGCCTATTGCCCTTACTAGACTAAGATCCTTCTCTGGATTCAGAAGTCTGGGGAGGACCAACTATTTCAACTCTTCTTCAAGGACACGTGTAGACTACCCTCAGCTTCCTAAAGAAGATATGCAAATTCGGTGCAAATTTGCATATCCTCTTCCAATCCCTTTTTTTGGAAGAGGTTTCTTTAAAAAGAAAAAAAAAGCAGCAGTCTAGACGGAGTTTTTTGCGCAAACCCCCCCTTTTTCAAAAGAACCCTTATTCGTCAAAAAATGAGGTTTGTAGGGTTCTTTCCAAAAAGGGGGGGGAAGGAGGTTTTGCACAAAACCCGCGTCTAGACTGCTTTTTTTTTTTTAAACTTCTTCCGAAAAAGGGATCAGAAGAAGATATGCAAATTCATGCCAAATTTGCATATCTTCTTTTGGAAGCCGAGGGTAGTCTGGATGTGTCCCAAGACAGAAACTGATCCTTACCAGGGCAGGATCTTTGAGACCAGACCCTCTTAGAAGCTTGCTGACTGCAGCTCTCTATCAATGGAGACTCCCCTTTCCAGAAGCATGTGTCACAGACTCCTCATTCTGGTGGGTCCCTCAGAGAGCTCACCTTCTAGGCTCCTTGCTCAGCCATCTGGCTCAGGCCTCTCCTGGGAGCTTCTCTCTACAGGAACTTCCCGTCTCCCTTTGGAGTTTTTCTCTAACCAAGCTCAGATAACCTTTATTAGGTCCAGCTGCTTGATTACTAATTCACCACCTGAGTCAGTCAATGATCTCTAGGATGTGGCCTCCTTAAGGCAGTCACGGGCAGACTGAGCCCTGACTCAAAGAGCAGCTAGCTACCCTGTGAGAGAAACTCATCAACGTTTCCAAAGATTAAGACGTTATCAATTAAACAATGTTAGTATGCCACATTGAGATCTTTGATGGAGAAGTATTCATAGAATCATAGAAGACAACAGTTGGGAGAGACTTCAGAAGGTCTTTTAGGCCAACCCCCTGATTAAAGCAGGACTAACCCAAACTAAATCTGTTTACAATTTCCAACTCCAATAAAATCTTTGCATTACTTCAGCCTTTTACTTATTACAGCCCTAACCCTGCAGCATTGACAAAAAATGTAGACACTTAAGAGTCTAAGTCCCAGTGGCTTTCAACCGGAATTAAGTGCTTCAAAAGATAAGGTGAGGTACCGGATTAACTTCTGTCGGTGAAAGAGACAAGCTTTTGAGCTACACAGAGCGCTTCTGATTTGGGAAAGGAACTCAGCATCACAGCTTAAGGTGGAACAGATTGTTTAGCCTAAGTGCTTACGTTAGTTTTGAAAATGGAACATTGGAGCTTTTAAAAGGTTCACCTTGCATCACCCTGTATAGAATTAGGGCATTCATAATCTTCTGCACTGAGCCATATTGATTGATTTGGCTTCCTAACCTCTGTGAATCTGAAATCAGATAATCTCTCTACAAACAGGTTCACTGTGGTGGTCTTCAGTTTTGGCATCTTGCCCTTTGATTAAATTAGAAGGTATATATTTACAGTGACTACTATGGCTGCTAATTAGAACCAACTAGTGCATACTAGTATTGACATGAGTCCACTAGGACTGAAGTGACTATTGATTTAATATAGACAACTGAACAGGCATAAGGCAATGCTTCTTGTTGTTGTTAAGTACTAAGTGGTTTAGAGGTGAAAAGCTCAGTGTGCTATCTTCACTCCCCTAAGCTATCAAATCTTCTACCAAACAGTTATCAAAATACGCTTTGTGTTCCCATGGTTATTTGCATAACATATAACTAACATTAACCCACCCACACCCCAAAAAAGAGGTGAAGTTACAGATGTAAGAGACTATTATTTTGTATCTTCTATCTGTTGATTAATAGTTTCCTCTTCAAATACAAGTATGTGTTTTGAGTGAAATTCTCCTTAAGTCCATATAAAGGAAGGTTAATGCTCCTTTTTCCTTCATATTTTAGAAGCATATGTTTTACAATAGCAATCATTACCTTGGAATTCCAAGTTTAACACTTCTGAGCTGCAATTCTGGTCTATAGTAAGCTATATATGTCTAGACAAATCACTTAAATCAATCTGTCTCAGTTTCCTTCATCTGTTTAAACTGACAGGTGCTGGAAGCATTACTTATCATACCACCATTGTTATAATCATGTGAACACAGTTCTTTGAAAACACGATGTGCTAAGTATAATTAGATAATGAAAAGTGACCACATGCAAGAATGAAACATACTGAGGTAGTTCACTGAAACAGTTATCATTCTAAATGCAATACATAAGATTTGCATCCTCTTCTGATTAATATCCATCTAATTGTACCACGAAACAAGAAATATTCTTTGCATAAAACTTGCACTTGATGAGGATAATCCTGTCTTTTTTATTATTTAAAATGTGACAAAATTAGAGTGATAATTTACCTCCTCGATTTAAAATACTTTCTAGTGATTTGTTACAGTGCTGTTATTTCAAGGCAATGGGTTTGGACTAAGGTGGTGGGGGATGTTATAAAATTACCACCCACTACTTTCCATCAACTTTTTAGACTAGGTCCTAGGAAGTACAGTTTATTTTGTAATTTTTTTTAAAACTAGTGATGCTGCTGCAAGAATACAGATAAGTTATTTTTTATACTGCTGAATTTACTAATTAGTTCTTTCTTACTATATTTTAATAAAGTGTGAATTCCTATATATACATATTCCATAAGCAAAACAAAAATGAGTGTCACACTAAAAAAAAAATCAAACAAATACAAAATGACTTTATGGAGTTATAATGATAGCATGAAAATGGGAATTTACTGCTCTTGTGGTGAGTTAAATTACTCAGGCTGGATTCTGAAGTAGTAAAATAACTTTGTGACCAGTAATAAAATATTTATTGCTAAGAAGAGGTAATCAATTCCCAGCCTTGCAGGGATGAGAAGGGATTTTATATCCCCAGCCTCGGTATACAAGTTCAGTGTGTGATTAGTTCTATTAAAGTCAATAAAACGACACTCTTAAAAGTTAAGTGCACTTGCACGATGAGGCCTTTTGGGTATCAGATGTTATCTCATGTTTACAGCACAGGATGAGGAATCAGGTGTGCTACACACTCACTGTTGTAACCTTGCATAAAACAATCATTCTCTACCTGTCTCTGTTTGCTGAGCTGTAAAATAAGGAGGATAATTATAATCTAGCCAATAGGTTTGTTGAAAAGTTGAGTTCATTAGTGTTTGCAAAGCAACCTTCCAGATCCTTGGAGTGAAGATGTCATAGAAATGCCAGTGTGTTTTTTTAAACAGTTAAATAGCTGATATTTTGAGATGGAGTCCTTACCATTATTTTGAAGTCTGATTACAGTCAAAGGGTGGGTTTTCCTTTTTGTTGTGTCTCATTTTACAACTACTACCACCACCATAAAATTGCAAGGAAGGAGCAGCTGCTCTCACTATGGCTCATGTTCCCTCTCTGTGGCTGACAAAAATTCTACAGCTCATTTCTGTTCAGTTCTTCTCTGCCATTGTGATGAACTGAGCGATCTAAAGTTTGACATGATGACTAACTTTTAACATCAGATAAAGTCAAACATCAAACACAAAGTTTATATTGTCTGGCAAATAGCGCTTTACCCTTCACTCAAAATCCAAGAACAAATTATGACTTAAAATATCCTCAAGAAACAGATACACTAAATATCTAAGCAAAATAATGCTAAATGTAATAGTCAATCATTTCTCTACTGTCACATTTTTCAAAAGGGTTCTATCATCAAATATATACAAAACACAAATACAGGGTAATCAAATCTAACCTTTGATCCATGGAGATATTGGGGCTGTGCATTAGGCTGCTTATCTCTCTGAAACTCCTGAGAAAATGGTAACACAGTACGAACAAACCTACAGAAGCAAAATATAGACACAGTTAGATATATCAGGTGTGCCAGTAACTAAATATACAATGCTGTCCACACACAAAATCAAATTTCCATTCTAACCCAACAGGCCAAATCAACTAAGGGGCAGCATACCACTACACTGCCCCAGGAACGGGGCACAAGTCAGATTGCAATTCCATACGCTTCTGCTGATGTAGTTTACTTCCCATTTTGTGCCGGCTCCAAATTGTTCATGAGCATACTGATGGGAACTTCTCTCCCACAGCATGGGAGCAGAATTAGCAGCCCAATGTTGACTGCTCTCCCTCTTTCTCTCTGTAGGTGCTAATGATATTCCACAAAAGGTAGAAAGGGATTCCCTTATGCCTCTTCATTCCCAGGCAATTGAGTCCTCAATGGATAGAGATGGAACAGAACTACAAATACTCTGCTAATGAAAAAAATGCAGAATTGTTCCCTACAGTTTACACAGTAATGTGTATTACTACAATCCACCGCCACAGGTTGAAACACAGAATGCCTTTCTAGAGTGCAATAAACAAAATAACTAACATCTATCACATGTGGTTCTTTCCTCCTACTCCTCTTCCCATATCTGCAGGGAAAAAATTGCGTGTGAAACAATCTTTTTCAGTATGATGAAAGTATTATCTGTTTTTGTCAGTGAAGGCCATACTGAAAAGTGTTCCTTCCACTTAGAACAGAAAGAAGATGGCAAAGCGTTTTGGTGCTTCACAGGTCCTGCAGGAGATCATTTCACAATCTTGGACCAGCCCAAAGAAAGGTCTCTATCCCCTGCACATAAAAGTGTTACTCTGATGGCAGAAAATGTCATTGCACAAGAAGAATGTACCTATAATATCAAGGCTTTGGAGCGGAGCCCGGAGCTGG